ATGATGATGATACAAAGCTACATCCCTGAGCAGGCAGCTCAACAGTCTGAGAATCTCTTTTCTCTCTTATCTCAGCTTGGGACAAAGGGGAAGGTGGGGAGGAATATGAAGAATATGGTCAAAATACATAATATCCTTGCATGAAAATGTTTTGGTACAAACCCATCACTGAGTATAATATACCAATAAAATCTTACAAATAGAAAAATAGATAAAGGAAAAAGTATAGAGCATGATCCCTAGTTCAGAAAAACAGAACAAGTGCTGCAATTTGATATACGTGCTGGCTTGTTTCTACTTCATTTTGTTTGCATATGAACCAATGATTAAATATCAGAGTTGTTTTTTTTTTTTTTTTTTTTTTTTTTGTCTTTTTGAGACAGGATCTCCCTTTAGCCCTAGCTGTCCTGGAACTCGCTATATAGACCAGGCTGGCCTCGATCCACCTGCCTCTGCCTCCCAAGTGCTGGAATTAAAGGTGTGCACCATCATGCTCAACTAGATATCAGAGGATTGGGGGGGGGATGTTTGTTTGTTTGTTTCTTTGTCTTTTTGAGACAGGGTCTCTCTGTAACCGCAGCCGTCCTGGAACTCATTATGTAGACCAGGCTGGCCTCGAACTCACAAAGATCCACCTGCCTCTGCCTCCCAAGTGCTATCACATAAGCAAATAGTACTTAGATTCATTTCACCTTTGAAATCAAAGATCTGGGCCACATTTCTTCCATTAGACACAGCCCATGCTCTTGAACCACAGTCCTTTCACTCCCTAGGGTCCCGTTGTGAGGCTGGATGAAGAGTAAGCCTTCTTGTCAGTGGTACTGAGGTTGACTCTGAGGTGAACACTGCTGTACTCACCTTCCATCTACTCCATGCAAATAAAAGGAAGCCTGGGAATGCATTCTTTCTTATAATAGTCTTTCTTTTCCATAACTTGCTTGGCCAGAGTCAGCCTTTCAGATAGATTAGATAGATGATTGATTGATTGATGATAGCTAGGTAGATAGATAGATAGATAGATAGATAGATAGATAGATAGATAGATAGATGATAGATTAGATCGTCTGTTTCTTCATGCCATTCTTTTTTTCTTTATTTTTCAGATTTCACAATATTTAAGGTTTCATATATTTATATATTATATATTGAGCATAATCCTCCTCATGCCCCCTCCCCCTTTTTTCACCCCTCTCCACCACATTAGTCCCCTTTGTCCGCCTATACTATTTGACTCCTACTTTCATGTCATATTTGTGTGTGTGTGTGTGTCTGTGTGTCTGTGTGTCTGTGTCTGTGTATGAGAGAGAGAGACAGAGACAGAGACATACACACAGAGAGAGAGAGGGAGAGAGAGAGAGAGAGAGAGAGAGAGAGAGGAAGACTTAATGATTTTCATTGGGGTTGTTTGCAGGAGTGTGAGTGAACATTGGTTTACAGGAGCAACCTCCCAGTGATTATGTTGCTGAAGAAAATGTCTAGTCAACAACTTCTATGTGGCCTGTGTTCTTGTCACTATTTCCCCCTGAAGGATTCATGTAGCACTCATAGCCCAGAAAGGGTCTATCTGAAACTGAAGCTCAGGCAGTATGTCTCCAGGGCCTCCAACTACCCTCCATGTATCCTTAGCACCCAAACCTTTCATCTGCCTTGTAGTAAATTTTCTAATAAGTGTTGTTGAACGAATCAGACCTTCATAGACCAGATAAGATAAATGCTTTTGGTTCTTGAGAAGGAAAGGTGTAATGTAGATAAGTAAGGAGAAATTGGACTAAAGGCTCTTTATTTACCTAAGTGTAAATACATACTCATATTTTGGTAGGTGGGGGTAAACATTTACTCTCTCCAAGGCATTTCCTACAGTCCATCTATTTTTACTATTGTGCTATGTAATTTTTTGAGGAAATCGAAGGCTTAAAACTTGGCCCAGAACAGAAAGAGAACTCTTGCTTGAAGTTCTTCCTAATTATGGAATCACTTTCCTGTCCTAGCTAGGAATCTGTGGACCAGACCCCTATGGTTCAAGGTAGCCATTTGAGATTGAAAATTAGTTCCATGAGTAATACTCCTGCACATTAATAGAATAATGAAATAAGTACTAGTTCAAAGCTGATTCTCAAATACTCCCATGAAATCACATCATTTTTCATAGCAGAGAAATTGTCTCACTAGCTCCTGGGACATCAAAGTCATCCACTTCCGATCTAGTTTCCCTCCCACTGCTGTGATAATACACTCTGGCAAAAAAGAAACTTAGGGGAGGAAAGGGTTTGTTTGGCTTACACTTCCAGGTCACAGTCCATCACTGGGGAAGTTAGGGAAAGGACTCATGCAGGAACTTGATACGATACCAAAACCGTGGAGACACACTTCTTGCCCTGCTGACTTGAAAGCTCATGCTCAACTAGCTTTCTTACACAGCCCAGAACCACCTGCCCTGGGAATGATACTGCTCACAGGAGGCTGACCCTCCTATATCAATTAACAATCAAGATAATCCCCCCACAAGTATTCCACAGGCCAGTATGATCTGGGAAATTCCTCAGTTGACACTCCCTTCTCGGGTGACTCTAGGCTGTGTCAAGTTGACTGTTAAGCTAACTAGGACAATTTCAATCTCTCCTTTCCCTTTCCGTTGAGTATTTAGCATACGAGAATCCATAGGCCTTGGCTATATCTATTTGTCCCCATCAGTTTCCTCATGGCACTATATGGAATAGTGGGATGGTTGATGGAATAGCATATATCCAAGATGGTCTGGCACATTATTGAAATGGAAGATTTGGGCAGTAACAAAATGGAAAAAAAGTGTGAGGTTTTGTCCTTTTTTTTACATAATAGGTTCAATAGAAAGAATAAAAATACCACACGTAGCCAAACTGATGTTCAAATCTGGTCTCTGACACACACAGGGAAACCTTGCCAAGTACCTGTTACTCTGAGGGGGTGTTTGCCTCATCTTGTGTTACAGAGAAGAGCTAGTTTAGTTAGCAATATTGCTTATTTTAAAATAAGAGAAGAAGATTTTGGCTGCTTTTGCTACAGTGACCAACATTTGAGGTGATGGGTATGCTAAATGCCATAATTTGTGTGTATGTGTGTGTGTGTGTGTGTGTGTGTGTAGGCCAGAGGAAAACCTTAGGACCTTGGATATCATTCCTCAGATACTATCCACCTTGGGTTTTTGTTTTGTTTTCTTTTGTTTTTCAAGACAGGGTCTCTCCAGGCCTGGAACTCACCAAGTAGGGTATTCTGACTACCCACTGATTTCCAGGGGTCCTCCTTTCTGTCTCCCTAACATAAGCAAATGCTACAATATCCACCTTTTGTTTTCCTTTGTTTGAAAGAGGGTCTCCCTGTAGCCCCAGCTGGCCTGAAACTTGCTGTGTAGGTCAGGCTGGCCTCAGTCTCATAGAGATTCACTTGCCTCTGTCTCTGGATTGCTGGAATTAAAGGTGTGCCCCATCACACCCAGCCCATTTGTTGTTATTATTGTTGTGTTTTGTAACATGGCTTCTGGGAATCAAATTCAGGTCCTTATGCTCATAAGCAAGTAGTACATCAACAGCCATTTTCCCAGCCCTGAATACCATGATTTGATCATTACGCATTTTGTACAAGTATGGAAACTACATCATCTGTCATATATATGTAAAAATTATGTTAATTAAAATGAAATACAACTTAAAAACTAACACATGGACCATAAAACTAGAGTAAAATGAAATGTTTAAAATTGCAGGTTTGTAGAAAGGCCGGTAGAGAAAATCTGTTAAGAAATTGAGATCGAGAAGCAAAGAAAAAGAAAAAAAAAAAAAAAGAAGAAAGAAATTGAGATTGAAAATTAATTCCATGAGCAATACTTCTGCACGTTAATAAAATAATGAAATAAGCCCTAGTTCATGGCTGATTCTCAAATACTCCCCTGAAATCATACCATTTCCATAGCAGAGACTCCTATACTAGCTCCTGCACTCCAAAGCCCCTGCTTCTAGCTCTTTTCTTTTTCTGTTGAGTATTTTGCATATGAGAATTCATAGGCCTTGGGCTCTTTTACCTAGTAGAGGTTTAATAAACAATAGTTCTTGCCATCCTCTCTAAGCCCCTGTCCTAGTTTTTTCCCTCTATTTGAGGGAATTCTTGCCTCAAAGAGCAAAGCCAGATGGAAGATGCCTAGAGGCTTAACCACATCCATGTTGATCTGGCATCCCTGCCTCCCTCTGTCCTTGCTCCAGCCGGAACAGCCGCTGAGCAACCGGATCCACTCATGTTTACAGAGTCTACCTGCAATGATTGCCTAATCTAACTGCTAAAGTATCTTATGATGTTGTAGAGGGTTCTAAGAACATCTCAGGAATACCTGGGAATAAATTGGTATGGTTAAAACTTTCTGAAGAGAAGAGTTGCTAAACTGTTGATCTGTTACTGTGATTTTTATGCCTCTAGGCCTTCTGGAATCCACAGCCAATGAACTGCAAACCCCGGTCAAATATTTCATGTCCCCCAAAGGCACAAAATTCAAACACAACAGTACTCCTAACAAGCTTAATATGTACTTAAATTTCCTGGCAATTTAAAGATTTTATACCTTTTCTTTTTGGCAAGTGACTGTGACTTCTGGCTAAAATTCAATCACTATCCATATTTAGAAAAGTACAACAAATACTTAGTAAGAAAACAGGGGACTTTGAATCTTTGATGAAGAAAAATAAGGCACTTTACCTGAGCAAATTTCGAATGAATCCATTTAAAATGAATTAAGTGGCACTTAACTGGTTTGCAAATTGGGATCTATTTATCTCAGTAAAATGATTAAAGTCTTGATTTATCCCTAAAATTAGCTTTATTATTACATTTAATTATACTAGAAGACTGTTAAGGACTTGTAGGTTCACGTTATCCCTTAAACTGTACTTTATTCAGACAATAATTGAATATCAGATAGGGCAAATTGATTTTTCCAAAGAATTATGTTTCTAATATTTTTCTCTTTTTTATTGCAGGAATTGAAACAAGTTGAAGAAACAAAAGATCCGGAGAATAGATTATCTAAAATTTCCCTGGAGTCGTTCAATAAATTTAACAGCAATGCTGTGATTTTATTAGAAAAAGAGAATGCTCAGAGCAAGGTTGAAGGACAAAAGGAAGAGAGAGAAAAAAATGAAGCGCCTTTGAGTAGTTCTGATAGGCCTGTGCTAGACAATTTGGAATCTCTGAGTGATTCTTTATATGATAGCTTCTCATCTTGTGTAAGTCAAACTTCAAATGATGTGTAAAGGGGGTTCCCCCTCCCCTTGCTGAGACCTAGGAATTGTGCACTTAAAAAAACAGGAGAGCAGAAGCAGGAGTTGAGGAGGACATAGGATCAATTCCAGATAGATCGACAGCAAGCAGCCCACCAGAGTTTAGTTCTCTGACAGGGCAATAAACATCAACCCTATTACTGTGTTTCAAGAGAATTAAAAGTAAAAATAATAATAATAATAAGTACAGAATTCTCAATTTTTGCACTTTTAAAAATATTTGTACAGAAGTTGTAAATTTTTTGGAAAAGAAATTATATTTGTAGGGAAAAAAAGATAGCAATAAAAAGAAACAGCGCCATGCTCTTGAACTCATGTACGAAGTCTTAGAAGTTGATAATATATTTTTTCAAAACTCCAGCTAAAGATTTTGTGAAGTTCATTGTCCCGGTGGTCTTCAAATCATTTGTGGGTACACTGTACAAATCTAAACCCAGGGCCTGAGGAAAAGCCAGAGGGGCTGAGGTAACCTCTGTCTCTCACTATCTCGTTCGGATAGAAATTTTAATGGTTGTGATTTTCACATCGTTGCCAGGGAGACTCAAGTTGTAGTAATATTCGTATTCCTGCTTTTACTGAAGAATAAGTGCGGCCTGGGATACAAAGAGTGATGCCTGAATGCAGAAACAGCCAGATCCTGCTTCCACTAGCAGGCTTTGCCTCTGAAACCTTCCATCCTCCTTTATATTTCTCTACAGTTCTGAGTATTTGTTGATTTTTATCTTCCTACTCTTTTTATTAAAATGTATTTGCTATGTTCACTTTATAAAAATAAACTGAATGGTTGGTGCTATGGAAATTTCTTACTTTTTAATATCCCTCTTTTCTATTAAAGACTGTTTATATGTGAGGATAAATTCTATTTTAAAGGTTATGTGTATTTTTTCTAGATGTAAACTATTTATAATTCCTTGTGTACATGAGCCTGTAAACCAGGCAGAGTAGAGCTATTTTAGGATCTCTACCCTTACTTTAGCACACACTTGTTCTTTTAAGAGTATTGTATGACCAGTGTTATTTTATTTGTGCAATTTGTTGTATTTCCATTTTGTTATCTTAAATGCAAATTATGTAAAGCTTCCTTGTCTTTCAAACTTTTAAGGAATCCTTTTGTTTCATTTCATTTTGGAATAAAAGTTATATACAATTACACCCCCTAACAGCTGGAAAGAACTTGTTAAAGAATACCCCCCCACCCCTGGCCCCCAGGTTAAATTCGCCTATCACACATACCCCAAGGATAGATTTCCCCGGAAGGAATAACTACCTGAGCCCTTTTGCCCCATGATAGTAATTCAAGCAATTTAAGATCAGAGACTGCAGACCAAAGAGTGATGGTCAGAGCATCCCAGTCTCTCCAAGGACGGAACCAGCTAGAAATGAAAGGAGGGGGATGGGGGAGAGAAGGAGCCCGAGGCAGCTATGGAATGATCTCTGCAGAGGAATTACAACTAAGTCATTTGCGCCCTTTCCAGACCTGCTTTGCTGGCAGGATGGGGAAATAAATGATCGCAACCCAGCCATAGAACGTTTCCCCCCAGGAGGCGGCCACAAGAGAGGGCGACGCTTAGCAGGCTATTTCCACTGGGGTGGACTCTCCCAAAAAGGCTTGGGATGAAGGGGTGGGAACGGGGAACAAGCGAGATTGAGGGCGGGGGCACCAACCAGTTCCTGATTGCAAGCAGGCTCTTTGCACCGCCTCCTGAAAAGCACCGCCCGGAAGGCGAAAATAGCACCGTGGCGCCCCGGGAATATGCAAGGTGGGTCACTTGGAATGGACAAAAAGGGGAGCAATGACGAGGGGGCTGCCGGTGAACAGGTCTTGCGCATGCATGGTACCTTAGGGATATACACTCATTGCTGGTGGGTTGAGGGAACAGGATGACACTGACCAGCCTTTTAGAAGGAAAGGATAGAGAGGAATGGTCTTTGCTCCAGTCTCTTTCCAGTGGTCTCTCAGCTCCTAACCCGCGTCCCTTCCACGGGTGGCTTATCCCGAGCTAGGCAACCAGGGTGGTGTCAATGCACCCTCCAGCGGTGCGCGCAAGCAAAAGGGCGGGTGGTCGAACAATCTTGCTAGCCGAGTTAGGGGCACCATCGCAATCAAACCTATCTTTAGGAAGCCCAGGAAGGATCGTTAATGGGGGCTTCCTGGAGCAAGAGGTGAAGCTGCATGGGACACCCCAGGGAACCCGCAGCTATGCACTTTGTCAGGTGCATGCAACAACCCCTTCCCCCCCATCCCAGTCAGTCACCCCGCGTGAGGAAGGGAGATAAATACTTCTGGCTGAATAAGCTCGACTCAATCTCAGGAATACTGGTTATCCCAGGAAGAGAACAGTGGACCTGAAAAGAAAGGGCGTCCTTGCACTCGGAGCCCAGCACTCAGATTCCCGAGCCCACTCAGGACAGGTGCCCGCGGCGTCCTGATCACCTCCACCATCTCAACCTCTGTAAACTACACCCCTTCAGAACCCAGCAGGCACCTCTTTCACAAGAACCACAGGCGAAAGGGGCGGTAGGAAGGGGGTGGGGACAGTAGAGAGACGGTCCCTGCCTTCCCCACCCTCCACTCCCACCCTAACTCAGCAGCCATCACGTGGTACCCAGAGGGGGGGCGGGGGGGAAGGCGAGACTTTTTTGGGTGCTCGGGATCCTCTGTAGTTCTTCAAGCCTCAGCAGCCAACTCCTCCAGAGGCGCCGAGCTCCGCCCCGGCGAGCGCAAACCCGAGGAGCCGGGACCCGCGGCTGGGAGAGCCCCGGGCGCGGGCGATGCGGGCGCCGCGGGCGACACCTGCGGCTCCTCTCGGTGGCGGCAGTTGCCTCGGCGGCTGCAGCTCAAGCCCCAGCCGCCTCAGCACCCACGGTCGCCGCTACCGAGAGAGCCTCCGCTCCGGTCACCCTCTCTGATGCTCCTGCCCGCTCCCGGCCCCGCCGACCCGGGAGGATGTGGGTTCTCGGCATCGCAGCAACTTTTTGCGGATTGTTCTGGCTTCCAGGTAAGAAGATGGAGAGGCCAGAAGCTTGGCCAGACATGCACAGGCCATCTCCTGGTTGGTCCCGGCTGTGTCCCTCTGTGCGCCCGGCTCGGGAGACGGCGCTGCACTGGGGCTGCCCAGCGGGAGTTTGGCGGCAGCGACTGAGACCCAGAGGCGCTAGACTGGGACAGTCTCCAAGTCCCGCGCTGCCGGAGAAGAGCAGGGAGCGGCGGATTTGCGAGACTCTCCGCTGCAGCTGCTTGGGGTACACAGTCCGGGATGCCGGGGCTGGGAGTGGGGAGGGTCTTTGAACCGTGCGAGAGGGAGGAGGGGGCGACCAAACCCCAACCCCACCAACTTAGCGCGTATCTCTAGCCACCCGAGGGAGCGGCGAAGCCGACAGGTGAGCGACACCCCTGACCAGCCTGTGGCCGAGCCCCCTCCCGGGCTGAGTTGACTGCTCAGCGTGAGGTCAGGAGGGAACCCAGTGGGAACCCAGAGAAAACTGGCCATTAGGCCCAAATAGGAGCTTCCAGATCCAAGGAGCGCAATCAGGTTAATAAGCTAAGACTGGACTGAGTCCCTGATCACTGACCTTAAGCCACTCATTTAAAATAATAATAATAATGATAATAATAGTAAAAAAAAAAAAAAAACCCAGGTCTAAGGATTTCGAAAGGGCTGCAATGTGGCGGTCCCTGGAACACGCGCGCGCTAGCATACACACAAACAACATGCATGTTCCCTCCCACCCTCCGAAGCCACCCAGGGCCACTGAGTCGGAGGACTTAAGCACACTTAAGTGTCCGGCGCCTCCTCCCGGGTTCTGGGTTCTGGGGTAGTTGGGCAAGAACCTTCGGAGCCTCAGCCCGGGAATGCTGACTTCAAGATTAAATAAATAAAACCAAAAAGGCGTCTGCGAACGCAATTATGAATGGTGCCAAAATAGTAATTAAGTACTTTGTAGCCAATTAGCAATTAGGCAAATCCTTAGGCGCAGATAGAAGCTGACGTTTGTCCTGGGAGCTACTTTGGTCGGGGGGTTTGAACCCTCACCACTCACTCCCTTTGCAGCTTCCTGATGAGAATGTTGGATAAGCTATTTGTGACCAGAAGCGAATTTGAAAGGGTCACAGGCAGGCTTTATCTGGGACCCCGGGAACCCGCGCTACCCTCCACAGGCTTCAGCCTCTTCCAGCCTTAATAGAGACCCTGGAATGTAGGGACTTTTCAAAAGCCCATGCTGTCTGAAGCTGGACTTGGTGATGCTGGCTAGGGTGGGCCCTGTGCAGGCGGGATCTGAACCCCAAAACATCTGAACCCTCCTGCATCTGTCCCGCAGGCTTTGCGCTGCAAATTCAGTGCTACCAGTGTGAAGAATTCCAACTGAACAATGATTGCTCGTCCCCTGAGTTCATCGTAAATTGCACAGTGAACGTTCAAGACATGTGTCAGAAAGAAGTAATGGAGCAAAGTGCCGGTAAGCTCCAGGCAACTCTTCCCCACCTCCCCCTGGGTTCCTTGTCCTGGACTAGGGGTAGAAGGGAGCTATTAAAGTATAGAAAAAGGAACGGACTCAGATTTAATGCACACACACACACACACACACACACACACACACACACACACTAGTCAGCACATATTTACTTTTTATGGTATTGGGAAAATGAAGAGTTTGAAGTTAACCTCATTAGTGTTAATTACCTGGGCTTCTCCCCCAAGAGACTTGGGAGGGGAAGTACATTGTAAATCCGGAGATTTCTTCTTTTTATTTACTCCTCTCACCTTCCTGGGCTAAAAAGCTAATCAGAGGGGTGGAAAATAAATGAATAACCAGCCCCGGCTTGGGCGACTAGACAGTATCCTGTGAGTGATGTCAGTCTGAAATATGGAGCTACTTGAAGTTCCCAGAGGTCAGAACTTGAAAAATGTGTTTTGTCAGAACGCCACACCATATTTCTTTGAAGAACACTATAGGATCTTTATTTAATTTTAGAACTAATGCATCAAATTCCAGGCACAAATTGCCAAGATCTTTCACAGGAACCATGTCCCCTGGCCCTACAGCTTAGCTGCTGGCTAGCTGGCTGAGCACAGAACCTGGGTATTATAGCTGAAGAAGGGGTTTAATAGAATAGATTTCACTCTAGCTAACAAGAGTCTTTTGGGAGATAGACTCCTACCCTGAGTTATAATTCAAAGTTCCCCCAAAATGTAACAGGTGCTTAGAAAATGTGTGAAGGTGTTACTTCAATTCCAAGGTCAAATAGAGACTTTGCTGTTGAAAAGATGGGAAATACCAACTTGGGATGTGTGAGTCTTGTTTCTATTTAGTCCAGGGAGGTACCCCCAGAACCCCATGAGGTGATTAAATTATTAATTTTCCTAACTCCCTGGCAAACCAATGTAGGGAAGCTAGCTTTGAAGGCAGCACCATGAGAAAGCAGTTTCCTCTTGAGTGGAGTCTGAAAGTATCATCTTGTTAACATCTTGGTTATTCAGGGAGCATATCTGCTAGTCTTCACAGCATAGCTCCTTATTGTATGGTATGTGTGTATGTGAATAGGGTATATGTATGTGTATTCATGAGTATGGTCACATGAGTGTGTATAGAGACACATACACACTTTTTGAACATGTGTATGTCCAAATGTGTATGTATATCTGGTATTCCTGAATATATGGATACATGTTTGTGTGTAGGCACACATTCGTGCATGCATGTGTGGAGACCAGAGGTTGGCATCTTGTATCTTTGATTGTTATCCAGCCTATAGTTTGAGGCAGGGTCTCTCACTTAAACCCAGAACTCAGCAGTTTGGTTAGGCTAGCTAGCCAGCCTGCTCCAGAGATCCCGGATCTCTGCCTCCCCAAGAGCTGGGATTATAGGTAGGCACCTTACCTGAGGGCCAGGGATCTGAAATCCTGGCCTCACTTTTGTATGGCAAATGCTTACTCACTGAGCCATCTCCCTAACCCTGTTGTGTGTGGTTTTACAGGCTACTCTTCATAGGACAGTATTGTTTGGGGTATGTCTCCTTTCTACCAAAATCTCTCTTCTGGGAAGTCTGAGATGTAACTATTCTCAAAAAAAGCATCCCAGGGAAAGTAGCAGGCATTGTTCTGGCATCTGACATCCTGGCTATTAAAAAGAGTAGAACAATCCCCAAATTAATGATTCTGCAGCCAAGATAGGGTGTGAGTATTTTTGATGAGTGATTCTTCTTATATGTGTGCTTCATTTCTGCATTTCACCTGCGCAAAACATTTCTTGCCCTTCTTGCATGCAGTTGGTTAGAGGTAGCCACAATGGGAGGCACTTGAACACCCTAAGAACTTCTTCAGAATCTTCAAGATGACTGCTTACCTGTGGGTTGTGTTTTACAGAGTGGTGTATGATTGAGAAAAGAATGTGAACTGGGTTACTCAGATCAAAAGGGGTACTTCTGAGAAGCATCTCTTTTTGTCTGTGTGTGCATCTAAGATGACTATCACACACTCCCTTTTCAAAGTGTTGTTTTCATCTTGCTTCATTCTCAACTCCAAACAATACTATAAAAAGGCAGAGCAGACTGTCTAACTTCCATTTTACCCACAGAAAATTTCCATACAGCGAGTCCCCAAGTAAGTCCCTCGTCTGAGGTTGAGTGTTTTCTATTTACAAGGTCAAGTCGCAGCTTGTCTCCAAACAAGCTGTTTCCAACCATAGGCCATAGGCCACAGGCTGAAAGGTGGAGAGAAACTACAAAGCAATGTGAACCTTTGTTTTTCCATTAGTGAGTGTGTGCATGTGTGCTTCTGAGAGTGTATGTGTGCTATGTGTATGCTGTATGCATATGTTCTGTGTAGTACATGCACCTGTGTGTGTGAGGGTGTACACACCTATGCATGTACATGTGGAGGCCAGAGGCAGTCATCAGGTACCCTATTCTGTTACTCTCACCTTATTCCATTGAGGCAGGATTGACCCTGAAGCTACCACGCTGGCAGCCAGCAAGTTACAGAGATCCTCCTGTATTTGCTCCCACAGCACACATATGGTCATGCCTGGCTGTTTTCACACGAGTGCTGGGAATCTAAACTGAGGCCTTCATGCTTTCACAGAAAGTGCTCTTACCCACTGAACCCCAGTTTCCCCAACCCCAATCATAATCTTGATATCTAAAATACAGGAGCAGTTAATGAACCCATAGAAAAACCCAGTAATGGAGAGTGTCTGGGTTCCTTTTCTTGTTGCTGTGACAAAATACTCAGACAAAAGCAACTTAAGGAGGAAAGGGTTTATGTTAGCTCATAGTTCAAGGCACAGTCCATCATAGCAGGGAAGTGACAGCAGGAGCTTAAGGAAGTGGTTACTGCCAGTCCATAATCAGGAACGGAGAGCAATGAATGCATGCATGTTATTGCTCAGCTTGCTTTCTTCGCTTTACACAGTCCAGAATCCCAGTCAGGGAAGGGTCCTTCCCACAACTGAGACACATCTTCCCATATCATTCATTATAATCAAAATAATCTTCCATAGGCATGCCCAGAGGCCCATCTCCCAGATGATTCTAGATTCTGCCAAGTTGGCAGTTAACACTGACCATCACAGAGAGGAACACTGTGGGTGCAAGGTATTCTGTGCTGAGTTCAGTGGAAACTAGACAAATGCATTTTTTTTTTTTGGAACAGAGGGCAGTGTCTTGGGACTGATATCTTCGAGCCATTCCGTATTTATCTTCACATAATTGTTAGAGACCAGTAAGTTCGATTTTCTTTGCCAACAAAGATAGAGAACACCTTTGGTTGCTAAGTGACCACAATAAATTATAATCATGGCAGCATGAACCAACTTTTCATTGTGTGTCCATGCATCTGGCTCTTTTCTCAGTATTGTCCATGTGATGTCTCATGAAACGTGGAAGCCCTCTTCGTGATGACCTATTCCCTGGCCTCAACCTATCAGCCTTTAATTCTATTGCTTTTTCAACTTCCCTACCCTGGAGAAAGAAAGTCCTGCCTGTTATATGATCCCATCAGGGATCAGAGTCAGAATTGATCAACAATGTAGACTGCTGTGGATCTCAGTGGATTAGAGCTAAAATGACCCGCTACTTCTTATTTAGGAGCACATAGGTGTCTTCCTGGAGTTTTGTTAAATACCACTTGACTGTGTCCCTCTGCCTTGAAGCTCATTTCATATATGTGTAGTATATGTGGCCATGGGTCTTTCCTAAGCTCTCCAAGTGCTTCTGGGCTGCTGCTGGTTGATATCTACTGATCTGGACCACTCGTTCTGTATTATGGAGGAACAACGGAAGATCTAAAAAAATAAAAGTCAGATGTCCAGTCCAAGCCTACCAGCCCACTATAACTGTAAGACTCTTGGCACTTTCTTCCCTGGCCATTTACTACACATTTACTATGGTGCTCCCTGCCAGCCTTTTCCAGAAGAAATTATACCACCAAGTGCAGCTGAAAAAATAGTTAAGGCATAATTCTAAGGCCTGTGAAGATTTTCTTTATGTCTATAAAGTTTACCTGATAGGCCAAGTGGGCAGACCACACCAACTGGTAGAGTGTCATGTGGACTAGCATTTTTTCATAGATATAGAAATCCCAGGGCTTTAAATGGACTAAGAAATTTTAATGAACTAAGCCAGCCTGACATTAAGCAGTAATGAAAGGTGTTCTCTCCCCTTCCAAAAAATAACAGCAACGCAATATGGCCAGGCCTTCAGTTATTCCTCTGACTTAAGTCTGCAAACCCAGCTCTTATGAATTTTGAGGCAGGTAAACTTAATTTTCAATTGGGAAGTACATTTAAAATTAACCTTTACCTAGCCCCCAGAGGGGTATTCCTATTAGGATCTGAGATTATTTTCCAATGCCCTTCCTCCCCTTGGTCATTTCTGAAATAATAAAGCAAGGGGTTATGGGGAGGGAAGTTTCACTGTCCTTTGTAATTGATGTTTAAATGTTTGCATTACTAATGACTCCCTCTAGTCAGCTCTGTACTTCATTGGTTCGTGTTCTAACCAGCATCCTTGATGATGACATTTCTTTTGCTTATTTATCATCGCATTCCATAAAAATATTTCAAATATTGATTTTCATTTCAGAAGAGAAGCCTCCCCCTCCCCAACCTTCCAGTATGAATTTTTAAACCAGGGTATAAAGAATACGAATTTGCATTTGTTTGACAGTGCAATCTTGTAATTAGAGTTTTTCCTCTTGACTAGATACAGTGAAAGGGGCATAATTTAATTTTTATAGACTAGCCGATTTCTACCCTTAGTAAAATATAGCTCTGTCAAGTGAGCAAAATGTTACAGGTTCTCCTAAACCTTATTTAAAAGTTAAATGCAGTATATTGAGAGAAAGTTCATGGTCTGAATCGCTAACCTAATCGATCTCCTCACCCATCCTTGCAACATGCATTAATCTATTTGTCTGTTTTGCAATACAAGAGTTACTGATTTACATGCCATCTTAGGT